TGCATTGGTGTAGAAACATTTCAGGTGTGGTACACTGTAGCCAACACCTCTTGAGGCAGAATGAGGGATCCTCTTAAGTGCTGGTTTTCTCAAATTTTGGCACACCATCACATCGCTCATCACTGGCCAGCCTGGTTTTGTCCCTTTCCCCCTTCCAAGCGACTCTAAAGCTCTGTCAACGAGCCCTGACAGCTCCTGTGCTAGAACTCTTTTTCCCCTCTGAGAAAGGTGCATTCCAGCAGGCATGAGCAGACCAAGCATTAAGCAGATTATCCCATGGTCAAAAAACCACAACATTTTTCCGATTATACCAACCTCGGAGCCACTCAGGAGGCACCTGAGGGATCTGCCTGTTCTTATCAATATTATTCCTTGTTACCAGAAGGATTGAGGAAATCACTACCTGTGCTCCTGATCCCTTTACCAATCACCCCAGGGCCCTGAAGTCTCTTTTGATTGCCCTCTGATTTCTCTTTGTTATTTTGTCACTGCCGGTTTGAACAACCAATAGTGGACAGTAATCAGAGGGCCTTACTAGACTGGAGAGTTTTCCAGTAATGTCCCTTATCTGAGCCCCTGGGAGGCAGCAGACTTCCCTGTGGATGGGGTCTGGTCTGCATATCAGGCTCTCTGTTCCCCTTAGAAGGGAGTCTCCTGTTACAACTACCCTTCTTTTTCTCTTGACAGAGGAGGTTGTGATGCAGGGTACAGTTTGGTGTTGCCTTAGGAAGCTCCTCTATGCCAGAGGGGCCTTCGTTCACCTCATCAGCTGTGTGGCCTTCTAGAGCCTCATACCTGTTGTAGAAGGTACCAGTCCTACTTATTCAGTTTCCAGGAGGAAGAACCTTCCTCCTGGTATGTGCATTGACCTCCTTCCAGCCTTCATCTTCAACAGATCCTTGACTATTTACATTTCAGGGCTCTGAGTCCACCTGCTTCTCCACTACAATGGAGATTTGGATTTCCTGAGAGTCTTGAGACTGTAGTGTCTCTGAAAATAATGGGTCAGTCTCTTGCATGTTCACTCAAATACCAAGTAGCCTGTTCACTTCTTCCTGTAGCTCCTTCCCCTGGTGACACAGCTCTTCAACCATGGCACACCTGCAAAAGAACTGCTCCTCTGTCACAGCCTCACAAAGAGGCAGCAGGTGCTCCTGGCAACCTGTGACCTGGAGAGCTGCATCTGCCATCAGCAGGTCTGACTGGAGGCCTCTGACATAGCTGGGAGTTCAGTGACTCCCACAGCTCCCACTGAGCTTTGCGGCGTGTCAACACCATAACTGAAAAAGCTTAAACCAGTACACTGATAAGACTGGGGATGGAAGGATCTTTTCGAGCTCTTTTCCATCACATACTGAGTCTGTTTATCTGCCTCTATTAGCTCCTCCCAGGTGGTCAAAGAGGAGCCCTTCCTGTGTGAACAGCCGTGCAAAGTGCTGTGCCCTGCCCTCACTGCCATACTCTGTTCACCCTGCCATGTCCTGCCCTCCCTGCCTTCCCTATCATACTCTGCCGTCATTGTCAGTGCCTTGTGTCCTTAGAGCCATTTAAATCTCCTGCATTGCTCCCAGCAATGTGCCCAGTTGGCTTCCGAGTGCTTCTGGGTCTGGACGGGGTTCAGCGCTGCTGCTCTGGTTTTCCAGAGCTCAGGAACCCCACTCTATAGTTCAATCTAACCCTCACCTCCAGACTTACCTCAGTTGCCACTGCTGCCTTGCTGACTTGTTTTGTCCACAGCTTGCAAGGCAGCAAGGGTTACAGGCAATCAGTTTGATAAAATACTTTGTACTAGTTCTTGTATTTCGCTTCCCTCTCTGTAAGTAAAAGTAATTTAGAGCTCCCAGTAAGACTTGGCCCTCTGGTATGGGAGGAGGCCAGGATGCCCCAGCAGGAACATGCTTTCCTGCTGCTTTGCCATGCAGAGGTTGTGGGCCCCCTGCAGCACAGCTGCCTTGGCTGGCACACAGCTGCCTGCTATGCCAAAGATCTGACACAGTTCTTTAACATGGCAGAACATCATCACTGCCTTTTGCTGCAATTACTGACTCAGTTTTCTGTGTCACCAGGTGAGCTCCAGAACTAGTATAGGGAAGGAACACACAGCCAGGGAGCAGAGCAGCCTGGCAGGCAATGAAGTGTTGGGTAAGTACAGCATCACCTTTATGTGCAAAATAGAGGTGTCTGAAAGCACAGCTTCATAAGATCCAGTGAGCCAAATCAGCAACTCTGCCACCACCTGTGGGCCTCCTGCTGTCTTGCTCACTCTGGCCCTTCTATGAGCTATTTCACTCACTGCAATAGCAGAAAACAAAGCAAGCAAGAAAGCCTGGATGGGGTTTGTGGTGGTGTCGTTACCATGTTTAGCAGGTCAGATTAGCTCATGGTAGGGTCTGATGAGCCAGGAAGAAATGGTGGCTTTAAGAGCAAGAGAAGAGGGATGAACGAGCAGCAGCAGCATTTACACAAACTCGCACCTTTCCTGTTCTCCTTCCAGAGTGCCACAGAAGTCGCCTAGGAACTGCAGCTCCTTACACTGTGATGTACGTGTAACCATTACTTCTACTGTTCCATTTTCCTTGTTCCCACTCAGTCACCACATTGTGCTGCTTCTTGCTCAGAAGTACCATCTGAGTGCAGCTCCTTCTCCTGTCACGCTTTGGCTTTAGAAATCAAGTGCTGCTGCCAGTTGCAGGCCAGGTGCTGCTTTCCCCTATGTATGAGCAGTCCCTGAAGCTGCTGTCAGGTTTTAGTACCTCAGCAGGAAGATGCCATTCCCAGGCACCCTGTTAGTGACAGAAGAGCATTGCACTTCAGCATTGTGGTCCTGCACTAACAAGCAACATTCACATCCAGGAGACAGCAAGAGCAGGAAAGCAAATCTTTCTCAATAAACAAATTTTAAACCTAAGTTTCAAAATTGTCAGGAGTATATGTTTAAGTTGGGCAATTAAAAGTGTATATTAACAAGT